TACCAACTCTGAGTCTCTCATAACACGGTTCCCATACTGCACTATGTAAGGTTCCATAGAACGCACTACGAATTAGCCTGAATTGTATGTTAAATACGAGTTTCTTATAGCACGGTTCCTATACTGCACGGTACGCACTTGCCGCGTAAAGCAAGGGTTTACTGTACACCGAAACGTATGGATAAATAAAGTTTTATTTATAATTGCTTCTTTTTTACTTGGTGCTAAATGCTAATACCTGAATCAATATAACTCATTAATATATATATATATATATATATACATATATATATATATATATATATATATATATATAGTCAGGCAGTCAATACATTATACCTTTAACAAGACTTTTGAATTTTTTGCAGAATTTAGACTAATACCACAAAAAAATGATATTTACACATTTTTTTTAACCATTTTACCCTAGTAATGAATAATAAGATGTTTATAATTCTTTCGCCTATTTCTTGTAAGCCATTCAGGCGTTTTGTCTCCACATATTTCGTAGTTGGAATGTTTCATCCAGAAACCTCCATGATGGTCAGTCACAGAGAAACCATTAAGTCCACAACAATATCATATACATACATAGGTATGTATGAGACGTTTGTAGTATTCCATGTTCCTTTTCTCCGCTGGACAATCTGCTATGAAAAAAATTGCTTATGTTATATAAGATCGAACTTTGAAATACTTTGCAAAATCTAACAACACGCTAATAACTATAATTTTTGTTTTTATTATTTTTCGTGCAAAATTGCATATCGACAGATGGTAAGATTTTTTATTTCTTTCGTCAATTAAAACTGATAGTCTTAAAGGACAAAATATTGAAATCAAATAATAGAAGCTATAATTTTACTTTTATAGAAAAATAATAATATAAATAGAAAAAAAGGTATGACAATCAGCTTCACCAAGCTGATTCATTTCGGAAACACTCGTTTGTTCACTATTGCAGAACGAGAAAGATCATATCTTTTTGGATCTTCTCGTTGAGTAGATTTGTGTGAAATTAAAACTCGTTATTGTATGATATTTAGTGACTTCTGGTCTTGATGTATTCTGTAATTCCTTGATCTTCAATTGGATTTGTTTAATAATATTAACCTAGATATTTAAACTATTATCTAGGAACATATCTACAATTGTATGAAATTAAAGCAACGTCGTCGAAGCAAATGCAAATATTTCGTTTGACAAGGTGATAGTATTGGCCGTGATGCCCTGCGGCTGAAACCTGAACGCTTGACATTGACTTGCGCCATGCCAAATTTTAAGTTCAAAGTTGTGAAAATTCAAAATAAGTTGCAAAAATTGACGTTTCTTGAACAAAATCCTCAGAGGCAAATATTATCATTAAACTGACTGACATGTGATTGCTCATCATATATTAATTATTAATATAATCATGATCATGTCATGTATTAATAATTAATACAAGACATTATTCAGTTGCATTAATAAATTATGCAGTGAATATAGTATATTTCATCAGATCTTCTAGATGTCTTTCCAGCATCATCGATAGCATCGACAAAAGATACATAATATTTATGATACGATATTTATTTTGCATCGTTATCGGCATTCTAATCCAATCAACTTCCAATTATTCTTGGTGCAAAATTGCGCCATGCTCACTAACTAGTTATTCAGTAATGTGTTGGTGGAGTTGTTCTTTGATGCTTTCGGCTTCCATATTTCGCATACTTGTAAATAAACCTATTAAACTATGACAATTTCAACAATATTTTCGATATAAGTAAAAAAATATTTAAAACGGAAATTAAGTAAATCAGGAAATAACTAATCGCACAAACTGTTAAACAATTGAAGAAAATAAAATATATTTAACACTTAGATAGTAAAACGTTACTACTAAAATCGATGCATATGCAACATTAACTGTGGAAGAAGATTTAAAAAGCTTAAGGGGTTAGGGGTACTTGAAATTTTTGAAAAATCGATTTTTTTGTTTTTGCAATTTCTTTAAGTGTAATAACTTGAAAATATTCTCTGAAAATATCAAGTTGATAAGATGAATACTTTTTAAGTTATTGGACTCTTACCAGCGCGCTGACGCAAGTGGAGAACTCGATACTTATACTAAAGATTATTCTCCGTTGCCTCCTGATGTTTTAAAAGCTTTTAAACCGATTTACCACGATCTCAGCAATGATAATTCACTTTCAAGATGTGTAGTTCAAGATTGAATGCATAATTAGAAAAAAATTGAGATGTACAACCAACTAGTGTGAAAAATATGCCCAAACACCGTAAATACTAGTTCTACTATCGTACAAATTGCTGCATACATATACACAATCATTATTATTGATTATGGATACCCTAGGACCTAATTCCCATTGGTATGCTGAAAAATTGGATGCCGCACGTGTGAAAGTGGTAGATCAGCGCGCCAACGTGAACACTCGGGAGGCCAGAATGCTTCGCAGGCAACAGTAAATGGAAATTTTGGAAACTACCACAATAACTGATGAACTATTGATATGGCCCAGAAATACTTGGTTTAAGTAATTCAATAATCCGTATTTCTGTACGTAAATCGAATGTGAAACTTTAAACGCGTTTTTCTCAAAACTATGTTTTTTGAACTGGTGACAATTGTAACTCAAAAACCGCTTACATTAGATTTTAATGAAATTTATACAGTTTTTAAAATACATAATAAACTCGGGCCTGATCAAAAGATTTTTATTTTTTTTATAAATTTAATTTTTTTAAGACCAATTAACTGTTGATTTTTTCTCAGAAATCTAGATTTTTTTCTGATGCCGTTATTTTGTTAATTTTTGCAAAAAAAGAAAAGCTTCGATCAGGCCCAGGATTATCTATTTATAAAACTATTGTTTTTTATGCGATTGATTTAAGATGAATCTCTAAGGAGTTATGACTATCATCGTCATGACCGTTTCTTAAAACTGTATCAACAAAAACAGCTATAACTTTGAAAATAATTTTTCTTTTCTAAAATTTTTGTTACTTGAAGTCAAAATAATGCCGTATTACTATTTTTGCAAAAAAACATCGTTTAATGACAAAAGAAAATACTGAAAATACTCATTTTTTCGTTAACCCCTTAAGAGTCTCTTTTTTGAACGATCCTAGCGCGCTCACATGACAGCACCCATCAAAATACCAAACGTTTTTGGTCGTAACAAGAAGATTTTTAGAAATTTTTATGAAATTTTTATAAAACTGACCTTCGCAACGAAAATCTTAAATTATTATACGCCTGTAAATAGTGGTTCAATTATATAAAAAAAAACTAATTAATATTCAGTAAGATAGGTTGCGGGACCTACGCAGGTGTATATAGAGTTCTTAGCGTAAGATGGCGATCCTGCGCTAAGGCGTTGCGCCAGAAATCGTTATGCTCAAATGTGGGTTCAAATCATAGGTTTGTATTGAAGAAGAATAGAAGTGGTTCAAATCCCATCAGTGATCATGTCTCAGATTTTATTTTCTATATTTGTGTAATTACACATTATAAAATCATTATGAATATTTTCATCCGAAATAAACCAAAATAAAGAAATAATTCAGATAATTGTTGGATATAATCGTAGTTATCATTATCTGAATTTGAACAAACATAAAAACGAAATCCTAGGATAATATAATTGCATTTATATTAAAATAAGAAAATTACTGTATTAATCTGTACTACTTTGGTAGGGCTATTTTGAATTCAAAATATGTGTTGATTCGTTATTTCAATTGAAAATAAACATCAGTTCAATCGAACAAGATAGTTGATACAATATAAATGATATCCATAGATGAACAAAGAAGAATTTAATGAAGAATGCTGTCTTTATAAGAATAGCATATGTTTTGAGTCTTGGTTTGACTTATCTTCAGTGTTACATAAAAAATAAAATAGCAAAATATAAATAATAACATATTTGTAAAACAATTATGATGATGAATGTTATATAATGACTTGACCAAAAATAATAGTCTCGTCATTATAGTAAGTTCACCTCGGAATTCGAGATACCAAGCTGTAAGTCTGTAAATACTTGTATATTGACACCTTAAAATTGTCTCAAAACCTACATATGGTATTACCCTACCCTACCGTATGTAGTTTTGAGACAACTTTAGGGTATTAATATACAAGTATTTACAGACTTACAGTTGGTTATCTCGAATTCCGAGATTCTTACCTAATTTAAGCTTAAATGACTGAGCTATAAAGACATAATATATATTCTAATAAAGACACTCTTCTTCATTAAATTGTTTTTGTTATTAGATGGATGATTCGTTATTTCAATTGAAAATAAACATCAGTTCAATCGAACAAGATAGTTGATACAATATAAATGATATCCATAGATGAACAAAGAAGAATTTAATGAAGAATGCTGTCTTTATAAGAATAGCATATGTTTGAGTCTTGGTTTGACTTATCTTCAGTGTTACATAAAAAATAAAATAGCAAAATATAAATAATAACATATTTGTAAAACAATTATGATGATGAATGTTATATAATGACTTGACCAAAAATAATAGTCTCGTCATTATAGTAAGTTCACCTCGGAATTCGAGATACCAAGCTGTAAGTCTGTAAATACTTGTATATTGACACCTTAAAATTGTCTCAAAACCTACATATGGTATTACCCTACCCTAACGTATGTAGTTTTGAGACAACTTTAGGGTATTAATATACAAGTATTTACAGACTTACAGCTGGCTATCTCGAATTCCGAGATTCTTACCTAATTTAAGCTTAAATGACTGAGCTATAAAGACATAATATATATTCTAATAAAGACACTCTTCTTCATTAAATTGTTTTTGTTATTAGATGGATGCTCCTAAACATTTTGTTGTATATATAGTTAGTATGCCTATGCATATATATATATTATATATATATATATATATATATATATATGTATATATATATATATATATATATATATCACATTCTTCACTATCACAGTCCTAATACTTACCATTTCTCCGACACAAGTAATAAGCTTTGTATTATCCAAAGTTTTCTCACATAGTTGTCGAACTGTTTTAAGTTCATCGTCTAATGCAGCCATACTTCGTTTTCTCTGTATAATGTGTTATATAATTATACAGCAACAAATGCAGCTGTTTAGAAATTTTTAGTGAATATGAGTATGATATATTCTTTAGAACATGTAAGCTAATTAGATTATGTCAATCACTTTTATGAATAGGAATCAAATCCATAAAAAATCACTACCAACCAAAGCTGAATATTCGGTTCACACCGCCAATTTGGCAGCTTAGGGAAATTTGGTGTCCCAATAGTAAACAAGTGCCCCAGCCAACAAACAAGAGTATTTAGAAATCACATCCAATTGCAGTGTACGTACTATTTGATGATATTAGCATTAAATTTAAGAAACTTTAACGAGTTTCTTGTTAAAAAGGACGTCAATTAGAAATATTAAACAATCTAAGAACCAAACGTATATAATGATTGAATTTTGAGTGTTGCCGGAATAATAATAGGTACCACACATTTTAAACTTCAATTTAGCATTTTCATTTTACAACGTAATTATAATTTTATAATGACGAATAATAATTTTTTTATATAGTTGAATTAACTTGAATTTTGAAATATTTTACCTTGAATTTTGTACATGACAAAATAGTTGACAATTGACAATTGACATTTAGTCATTAAGTGTTGCCAGCGCTTACTGTTATCGTTATCGTTGCGCGCCGTGCAACTGCGATTTGTTTTGTTTATTTGTTCCCGCCCGCTGGCGGCCGCTCTTCGTAACCCGACTCGTAACGCTCGTAAAGCCTGTTCGTTGCCGAGATGCCGATCGTTTGACATGCTATGACAAAATCGTTATTTTTGCATGTAATTAAGCAATTTTTGACAAATCATTCGGTTTATGTGTAATTTTATATGCAAGTTAAAAAGAAATGAACAATAATTACAATGGCCGAGAGTTATACACGTACCGATTCAAATAACTCACTGTCCTGCTCTCTGAAAGGTATGTAAACCGTTTTAAAATTGTCATCAATGTTATAGTTGTAGTAGTTTGTCATCTACTCATTATAAATGAAATTCACATCAGTATTATTCATGAGCAATTCTCTTCTACTTTTCGTAGAAGAATCTCCGCGTTTGCTTCAGGATTGTGATTCTCATAACCTCCCTCTTCACGTAAAACTCGCGCAGGAGGCAGCCTATGAGCCACTGACTGAGAATACTGAGCAAACTACTACTTCGACTGATGTTCTACTGACAGTGATTTATTCATTAATGTTGGAATGTGGTTTTGTTCCTGCACAATACGGAGTTTTAGCAGTTCCCAGTCGTGGCTACAATCGAATGAATATTCAACAATTTTCAAAGCCACCGAAACAGTGGCTTGATCAGGGTTGTAACCTACTAAGATTTTCATTAGCTTTAAGCAGAATACGGTTCTTTGCATAATCGCAAGAAACGAGCTAGGCGGCAGCATGCAAGCATATTTCATTCACCTTATTATATGATATAGTTCTCATTTTAATTTGCTGATATTTTAACTTTTTTACCTGAATTTTAATAAGTCAAAATTAAAAATTTAATTTAGTTAAGAGAAACTGTGATATAATAAGTGAGTGATAATAAAATGTGATTTAATTTTCTTGATGATATATGAAGTAAATAATTAGCTCTGATTACAATGTGATTTAATTATTAATTGTAGGTAATAATTTATACATAATGTATCTATTATTAGGTATATTGAAAATATAAATTTATATTTTGTATTACATGTACTACCACAGTACTACCTATATATTAATGTGACAATTTGTCAAACCATATGAAATTATTTTATATATGTTGAATATTTACAATAAATTGAGTAAATGAAATTATTAATGAGTATTCATAATTGTGTATATAAAATTGACAAATAGTCATCAATCGAAGTGATTGTTTTTAGTAGTTAGTAGTTTCACTAACATAAACTCTTAATAGGCATTAAATTTTAAATGCTTGAAAACCTAAGAATCGCTATAAGACAGAAAATATTTTCCAAGAGAAACTAGATTATTATTTTCTTGCTACTTTAAACCACATGAAAGCATAAGGTAGACTTTCAGTATATTTGCTACTAAGCTAATACGTCACATTATTAAAACTTACTTATATTTAGGTAAAGTGTGATTACTGACTCTTACCTTTAGAATAATTTTTGAGTCATCGGTTTACGAAACGTTTCTCTGTATATATATATTTATTAAATAAATTTAATAAGTATAACATTACAATAATATAAATTTATAATAATATATATTCCAATATAATATTGGATTTTAGTAATTTGCTTGTATATGATTATAATAAGTGTATCTAAAAAAACATTCTCGATTCTTTATGAAGAGGCACACAACACATTCGATACATATAACATGATAAACTTTTTTTTATGTTTTTTTTAACAAACTGTGCATTGGCGATTAATATTTGACACGCCTGTGCGAATTTTAACTAGTTTATGATTTTGTGCATTTTCTAACATACTTGGAATATAAGTAGTCTATAAAATTTAACTGTTATGATGTAAGTGTTTCGGCGTCATGTAACATTGTTGATTTTGTCCCCTTTTGATTTTTCATGTAGAAACTATTTATAAGTTTTATTTGCACAATTTTAATGCACAATTTATTACATCGTCTTTACCTACTTTTTCGTACGGCGAATTATAGAGAAAAAGGTAAGTTATAAATCAGCATAATCGACACCTTTCATAAATTTATTATGATCAATAATAAAGGAGGATGGTTTCTAGATTTTGCCAAAATTTAATAAAACATGGCGTTTTTTAACTTCCCGTATGGTAAGTTATTGTAATGGGCCGAAAATCGGAATTGAAAATTTTTGCATTTCTCGACGTTTTGAAGGTTTCTGAACATTTTGGCATACCTCAGAAAAAATGGATGTGTGTGTGTGTGTGTATGTATGTATGTATGGATACAAATTTCCAGTCACGTTTTCGGGCGCACGGATCAACCGATTTGAATGGTTCAAAAAACATTTGATTTCTATCGATAGGGAAAAGAGCTGATTAGTTTTTGACAAAGGCAGGTCCAGCCGTTTCGGGGATACGGAGCAAAGAGTGCAGAAAATATAAATCGACTTTTTGAGAGAACGGAGTATCCGATTTGAATGATCTAAACAACATTCAATTAGTAATGATTCGGAGAAGTGTTTATTAGTTTTTGGCAAAGGCAGGCCCAGCCATTTCGAAGATACGGAGCTAAATATGTAAAAAATGGCAGTTTTTGAGAGAACTAAGTGTCCGATTTAAATGATTCAAAAAACTTTCTGCTTGTCTAAACAAAATAATTGATTTTGGAAATAAAAAATTTTGTTTCAATTTTTTTTTTTTTTTAATTTTTTGTATATCGAAAATAATTTAGATTTTATTTTTAATTCTGACTATAGTTCTAATATACTTTAAACAAATAATTTCAACTTTGCAATTCAGTTTATATAGTATTAGACAATGTTACAATATTTATAATAATCTATTTGAAAATTCAGTATTCCTCGAACATTTCGTTACGGTAAGGGAAGTTCCAGCAATTTGCCTTAAGGCACGATGCCACCCACCCCACTAGTTAAATATTGTTTCTCCTCTACTCAGTTAAAACTTTTTAAATTTCATAGGGACGGTTTCCTTCGATTGCCAGAAGTGAAATAAAACATCTAGACTTGCTTATTTATCTATGCATCTAGAGGCCGTCGAAAAATTATTTCTTTCTCAATTCAGTTTGAATTTTTGAAGTTTTTTGCTAGGAGTGTCTTCAATATCGCAACAAAATCCAGGATATTATAAAAAATAATTTAAAAAAAATACTAATATATACGAGAAATATATGGTATCAAAATATATTTTTTAATTACTACCCATAAACCAATTACATAAGTGAACAACATTGTAGAAAATTCATTGATACATTGATTAAATTAATGAATTAGGTTCATATTGATCGCCATCAGATATAGTATTTAATTCGAATTGGTTGTTTCTATTTGCAGCGCCATTATAATTCAATATAGATCTACTATTGGCTTTTGGAAACGAACTAACTGTATTTGGTGGTTCATATGTAACACGTGTAAACACTTGAAACGAGAACTGTGAGATTGTATGTGTGTGTTTTTTTCATGTCAGGGTGTAAATACTTAAATTATTGAACTTAAAAGGAAGTCGATATTAATTGTTTGTCAAAAAGTGTAAAAAATTTAAATATGAATCATGTAATAGGTTGTGATCTGATCTAATGTTGACACTGTTAGAAACATTCATGAGAATAAGACAACTCTCCGCGAATTCACAGTTCTCGTTTCAAGTGTTTACACGTGTTACATATGAACCACCAAATACAGTTAGTTCGTTTCCAAAAGCCAATAGTATAACATCGAATACAATATTATTTGTTTTCAAATAATAATTTTAAAAAAAGACAACACTTTTAGTAATTTTGATTTACAAAAGTTAACTATTCGGCGGAAAAATAACTCACAAATTCATTTTTTGTCAAAAATTCTTGTTTAGTGAAAAAGTGCTAACGGATATTCAAACATACAGGTAATTAATTCAATTTTATCATTAATCCTTTCTTAAAAAATTTTCCATAACTTTCAAAAAATTTCTATTATTTTTAATATCCTGTTCTGATAATCCACTCATTTATTTTTATCATTTTCAATTTGATCATATTATCATATTGCTGTACATTATTATTTGTTACAATTAATTTATTATTTAAGAAAAATCTATTTTCTATTCCTAAACATATTGTTTGCTTAAATCTCATCAAGATCATGTTTCTTGACAGATGTCCTGAAGATGGAACGTACCTAGTTCCGAAACGTTGACAGTAAACAAATAATTAAATAAAGAAATTGTTTATTAAGAACTTTTCTTGTTTTTTATTTTGTATTATTTTTGGATTCTTGTTCGAAACTCTACAAAATATACACAAATCCAAGACTCTACCATTCAATATATATATATATATATATATATATATATATATATATATATATATATCTATATACAGTGCTGGATTTACAGTAGGGGCAGTCGGGGCTACTGCCCAGGGCGGCAAATTTTCGGGAGCGGCAAAATTTGGATAGTGAGAAGAAAATTCTATACCATATAATCAACTCATTTTTTTAATAACACTTTTTAATTTTAAGAAATATAATTAACAAAACTTACGGCAAGTTACTGAAACTTTCCGTTCTGAAAATTACATTTTATAAGAAGCTTTAAAATTTTTTGAAAAATAATAAAAATTGAATTTAAAAAAACTTTTTTTTATATTTCAACATTTTTTGAAAATTATTAAGTTTCATCTATTAAACTTATTAAATTTTATTTGAATAATTCGATTTCTATTGATAGAGAGACGTGCTGATTAGTTATTGGCCAAGACAGGTCCAACTGTTTCGGAAATACGGGCCAAAATGCCAAAAATAATAATATCGGTTACTATGGCAAATACTTTTTCTTAGGACTAATCTCAGCAAAAGAAAACAAGCAAATTATTAAACTAACTTTTGAATAAGTTTCAATTTAAAATTGCATTTAAATAATCAAATCATCAGTAACTATTCATTCATTATGTGATGAAAATATGCAGCAATGGAACGCTGATATTTTTATGGTATCGAACCAATATTTTATGACAAAATATTGCAAAATCAATAATATTATCATATTATTATGGATTATAATATTATGTCCAATTATAATATCCCTATTACTAATAGTAACATGTTACAAGTACTAAAAATCAGGTTGGTTCTATATTAGTAAAATAAAAATTCAAAATAAAAAATGAGGGAAAAAAATACAATTGGACAAAATATTATAACCCATAATAATATGATAATATTATTATCCAAACCACACACTTGTTCAAAACGTAATAAAATTTAAAAAAAATTAAATTATTTATTAAATATTAATTTTACCTGAAAAAAAAAATGGAGGTTTTCAGATTGAAAAACAAAGATTATTTTAAAAGTTTTATTATATTGAATGTTTGGACATTTAACATCAGCGTATTGTACATTTTTTATTATACATTTATATATTAATTAAATATAAATAATAAAATAATTAAATTGATAATTATTATACTTATAGCTAAGATGCAACTATTTTCCACACCACCCAGGAGGTATAGTTGCCAGGCGCGTTTTTTTTATTGTGGTGTCGCCATACAAATTGAGTACAGCCCTAGTCCACTTACAAAATAACTTAAATTAATTAACTAAGCTAATTTACTAAGCCTAATTTAAATGATACGAATATAACATGAAAAATACCCCACGAGATAATTAAATGTATATGAAGATCTTCTTTAGAAAAAAACCGTAGACGATGCAAGAACCTGTTAGAAATTAAAGGTAAAATTGTAATG